AGGTTTCAGTGTGGGCGGACTCCTGTGCTTCCATCAGGGACAGGCAGCCGTGAGAAGCCAGCCTTGCACCTCCCACCCTCCCAGCATTCCCTGTGGGTTTTCTGAAGGAAGAGGAGATCTACCCCCGGCATGGCTATTATCAGAACCATGGTTGGCTCCTGGTCCTGGCAGCTGGGGTGAGACTACGGGAGTAGGCAGCCCCGACAGTCCAGACAGCAGGGCCTGCCAGGTTTAATGCCTTTCTGGAAAAACCAGAGTCTCTAAGAAGATTCAGGTGTTTGCCTCCTGGGGCCTTGGGAGCCGCCCACAGGGGCGGGGCCATCCTGGGAAAGGCGGGGTTTCCACATTTCCAAGGTAACCGAGTTGCTCCTGCCTCAGGCAGCAGAAGCCAGCTCTGGCCATTTGCTGGGCTGTGAGTGAGCAGCCATCCATCTCTGCAAACCTGAACTGTGCTCAGCATTGGGTGTGGCAGGGTTCAATGGGTGGGAGCCCATCCAGCCTCAGGCAGCATGGCGGCCTCCAGCCGGTCCTGCCCCGTGAGATGCCAGAACACCACAGGGAGCACAGGTGTGGGGGTAGCTGTGTGGACAAGTATTATAGGAGCTGACAGTGTAGACTGGTGCCTGGAAGAGGATTGTGGTCTGCCAGGGCTTGAAGTGGGTCTTGCAGTGTACACATTCCTGCATAACCAGAAAGGTCGAGTGAGGAAAGGAGGACTCGCAGGCCAGTTCACGGGTGCACAGTCCCAGTGCAAGGTGGGCCCTGGTGTGCAGTCGGCACTCCATACACGTCTATCAGTGCGTGGGTGCCATGTTCGTGCTGGGCCCTGGGTTGGAGGCACAGCTTGTCCCTGCCAGGGAGGAGCCAGTCCAGAGGCCACGTTTCCTGTTCCCAGTTGCTGGTTCCAAAGCACACACTGTTAAATGGTGTATCCTTACCTTAGGTTTCTTTTTTGTTTTTTAAACTCTGTGGTTATCATGACTTGAAATCATTAAAATTATTATCTGCTTACTCAGTTAGGATGGCCTTAAAGCAAGACATCATTTCATATAGTTTTTAGATTAAGTTATAAATGTTCACTTTAGAACTACCTGAAGATTAATAGAGATGCATTTGGAAAGCATTATTTTTTTATTGATTCTTAATGTAGTAAATTACTGGAGTTATTTGGCAGCAAACAGGAATGACCTGCGATGTGGCTCACATCTCTTCTCCTGATAGAGCCACAATTTGCATTAATTGCACAGCGACTGCACTCACTTATATTAAAAGGCTTCTACTATAATTAATCCTTTTTATTTCAAATCATTTTGGCACAATTTCTAGCTATAAACACTCATAAAGGGCAGACAGTTGAAAAATACGTTACAGGTTTTTTCCATATACCTATTGCTATTTTTTCATGACAGGTAGTTATTGATATGCTTCTAGGAATAAGTGTTGTGCGACTGGCTGAAAAATGCTAAGTGGATTATTTTGCATAAAAAATAGGCAGTTTTTAAGTTGTATAATTAACCTGTGTTTAGAAAATACCTTGATTTATGCGTACATTTGTATCTCAGTTGCATACATTATGGAAATTTAATTTATAATCCATTTAGCTGATGCAGTCATAGTTTTTAGTGCTATCATTTATTAGTGTTTGTATATTAAATGCTCTAAAGGTTTAAACCTGCCTTATGTAAAAAATTATACCTATGCATTTGCATTTTATGAGTCACAGTGGGATTTCTGTTTAAAATTCAGGTAGCTCTGATATATTTAAGGAATCTTGCTGGTTTATTGTTACTAATGCAGAGGTGGCAAACAATGACCTTCAATATTGAGCGTCAGGTGATTTACGCTAGCAGTTTACTTTTGGAGTCTGCTGTACAAATGAGGGCTTTTCTTCGACACCTTGTCCCTCCAGTGCTGTGCAGAGTGCTGATTTGGACGTGACGGTGCGCAACCATACTCCGGGTTAACAGCTCTGGCTGCTCTGAACCTGCCGTGGCTTGGGGAACAGCTTTTCATTGGCATTGTCAGTAGATAGATGACTAAGTGTGAGTTGCCGTTTTATCACTCCTTCTGTCCTTAAGGGGTCTTTTTTGGCCATCTTTTCAGAATTAATTGGGCAATCATTAGTCTTCAGATGAGAAATAGAGCACCAGCCCAGGGTGCTGTGGTTGACCCAGCCAGATGCCAGGGTCTCCTGGAGGGGCTACTGTGACCTGATGGATCCTGAGCTTCTTAGAGAGACAGCCCTGGCAGAAAGCATTCTCCAGAGTGCCTGTCAAAAGTGACCAGCAAGGGGCTGGGACATAGCTCAGTTGGTAGAGTGCTCGCCTCGCATGCCCAAGGCTCTGGGTTCAGTCCCCAGCACTACCAGGCAAAAAAAAAAAAAAGTGACCAGCATGATTCTTGACATTGAAATGTACATTACTTTTTGAGAAAACCTTCACAGCTGTTTCTGGGTCTTTTGGTGATGGCAACAGGTGAGTCCTTAGATTACATACCTCAAGGGCATCTGAGCCAGGCCCAGTGGCACACCTCTGTAATCCCAGAGGCTCAGGAGGCTGAGGTGGGAGGCCAGCTTTAGCACCTTAGCAAAACTCTAAGCAATGTAGTGCGTCCCTGTCTCAATGCAAAAGAAAAGGTGCTAAGGATGTATCTCAGTGGTTAAGCACCTGGATTCAGTCCCGGTACCAAAGGCGGGGGGGAGGGGCATGTGAGCACCCTCTATTGGAGTATATAGGCTTCAGCGTGTGTTTAGGAGCTCGTGACTTTATAGAAAGCTTGAAAAAGATGACTGAATGCTGTGCTGTGCTGGGAACTGTGACAGAGCGCCGGGGCTGCTTTCTAGAAGGTCCCCAGAGGCACCTCGCGCTCCCCACCTCCCTGGAGCTGTTTGCTGTGGACCATTTGCTTTTGCCTGAGTGTGTGGGACATGGTCCGGCAGAAGAGTGACTCCTGATTGGGCCATCTGTGGGAGGCTACCCCACAGATGAAGCAGCTATCTGTCGGGGCCTTTCATGAGGCACCCAGCGACATGTGCCTCTCTAAATCCTGGGACAAAGGGCTCCTGGCTATGCCCAAGCACATCTTCCTCAGCACAACCCTCGGTATGGGGCCAATGCAGCTCTTGGCCTCTGTCTGTCCTGGCTGGTGTACCTTGGGCCCAGGCAGGGTCCCAGGACCACATGTACTCCAAACACAAGACAGGTTCTCGACCCCTCTGCTAGAGAGCACTTTTCACTTTAAAACTAGGCCCAAGTTCTCCACTTACCAAGTAGGGTAATCGCACTGCGCTTCTTGTCCTGTGAAGGTAAGGCAGGGAGCATTTCATGGGGTCACTGTGAACACAGACCTCCACAGACGAGGCGCTCACGGAGGAAACCCAGTCTTCTTTTGGCCTCTGTGGGAGCCGTCCTCCGACCTTGTCCCAGAGCCACATGTATGTGAGGTCACAGATGTCCTACACTGTGCTCAACATGGCGCCTGCACATAATGAGAACTGGGAGGTGGCAGCCAGCCGCTACATTAGAAAGGCTTATTGTGGCTTCCAGGCCCATCTGTCCAAACAAAATACTAAGACTTCTGAAAACATCACAGTGAAATTCTGGTTCTTGTTGGATTTTACAGCCTTGGGCCACGGGAACCCCTGACGTGATGCAGGGAACCTTGTATTCACTAGAGGGTCTCTGGAGCGTGATATGCTAGCACCAGGGTTTGATTGACTCCTTTAATTACCAGGAGAGACAGCGAGGTGCCCCCTGCTACACCCAGCACGGCTGAGATGAGAAGGCCAACAGTGCCATGCCCAGGAGGATGTGGACACGGACACCCACATTACTGGTGCTGACACCAGCCCTGGACACCTTAGAGACTGCTTGGGCAGTACCTAATGTGGGCAGGCACACCCCATGCCCAGCCTTGAGTGCTCTCCAAGCCTGTCCTTCAGTGTGTACTCATCAGCTTGTGTGTCCACCGCCAGGTGAAGAGGAAAAGACATCACACGGCAATAAACAAAAGAACAGGCAGCATTGGGCATCTCAGATAGAGGGTTGCATGCTGCGTGCCTGCTCCGGGAGGCCCTGACACCAGGGGACCCGCCACCACGTAGTAGCAGCAAGGGGTTGACGCAGAGGGTGTGAGGGAAGGGCGAAAGTGCCGCGTGTGGGGTCAGGGCTCCACATCCTAGTCTGCAGGGTCCTGCTCAGGCATGACCAGATGAAGACGTCATCAAGCTTTACCGGTTAGCTGTGTGTGTTTCACTGCTTACAAACTATACTATAAATATGTCCACATCCTTAGATATGAAGGTGGGCATCGATGGTATCTCTCAACTTGTGAAATCACATGACGTCCATTGTGGAACACAGCCACACGTGTGCTATGCTGCAGGGACAGTGGGGCAGAGGTGGTCTGGCCGGCGACCCTGAGGAGCTCTGCTCACCACCTAACATCCCCTGCCTGTGAATGGGACTTCATTGGAAATGGGGTCAGTGCTGGATTAGAGTGGGTCTCAAAGTCAGCGGCCAGTCTTTAGAGAAAGGGTGTAGTCTCCAGTACCTCCAAAGCAGAGACGCAGGGAGGAGGATGACCTTGAGAAGAGTCAGGAGCTGGGGACTCTGAAGGAGTCTCCCTGCCTGCAGCCTGGCCCAGGCTCTGTCCTGTAGGCTGTGAACGGATCCCTGCTGCTGCTTCTGCTGCTTTGTTCTTAGTGATTCTTGGGACATCAGTGAGGGCTCTACGTCTACCATCCCCTCTGACCCTCTGGGAGTGCAGAGGAGTGGCCCACGTCCCTTCTGTCTCAGCACTGTGTCTCAGCCCCGAGTCTGCAGTGAGCTGTGGCAGACTGGACGCTCCCAGGGAGTGCCTCGGTCGAGGCCTGGCCCATGGGCTCACGCTGCTGTGGACTCAGAGAAAGACTCGCTGTCCTAGGACCCTGTTTGGTTGACGAAGCATGACAGAAGCATCCGTGAATGCTAACCCTGTGCCCTGCTCTGTCCTGTCTGAAGGCTCTCTATGAAAACATGCTGGTGGAGCTGCCCTTTGCCGGCTTCTTCCTCTCCAAGCTGCTGGGCACCAGTGCCGACGTTGACATCCACCATCTGGCCTCCTTGGACCCGGAGGTCTACAGGAACCTGCTGTTCCTCAAGAGCTACGAGGAGGACGTGGAGGAGCTGGGGCTGAACTTCACCGTGGTGAACAACGACCTGGGAGAGGCCCAGGTGAGCAGGGCCCCTGCGTCTGTTTCCAGCCCCGGGGCAGCATTTCCTCCACTGCCCTTTTGACTCACCTGAGATTGTACGGTTTAGTTAAGAGAGTCACTGTGGCTGGGAGTCGGGAATCCCAGCGTGGGGGGGGGGGTGCGGGGGGCTGCCCGCTTGCCTTCTCAAGACCCATGTCCGCTGCTGCTCCTGTGCCACAGCGTGGGGCAGCACCGCCAGCACGGGACCTTTGGGAGTACGCCGCCCCAGGTGCAGCCAATGTGGGAGGCTTCCTGGCCTCGCTGAATGAGTGGTGGTTCTTGTTACTTTACTTTTTCTTTTTTAAAAGGAAAAGAAGGCCTATATTGGAGGTTCAAACTAAGTTTTATGTTGGGGGGGGGTTTGGTTTAGTTTTGGGGGTTTTTTTCCCTTTTTTTTTTTTCAGTGTTCTGCCACTGATCTGCACCCTCTTAACTTTCTCAGAAACAACTTTACTGAGAGAGAAGTCACAGCGTGAATTGGAGCCTCCCTGAATGTGCAGCTCAGTGGTGTTGATGTGTTTGTAGAGTCAGCCACCTTTAGAGTGTTTCCTTTTCAGTTCTTCCAGAGTTACTTCTCCACTGAGCCACATTTCCAGCCTTTTTTTTTTTTTTTTGGCATTGGGATTGAACCCAGTGATACTTAACCACTGAGCCACATCCCCATCCATTTTTATATTTTATTTTGAGTTGCTTAGCACCTCAGCCTCCCATGCTGCTGAGATTACAAGTGTGCACCACAGTGCCTGGCTCCAGCCCTGTACTTGTTCTTGTTGGTGGACCTTATTTTTTTTTCATTTATTTATATGCAGTGCTGAGAATCGAACCCAGGGCCTCACAGATGTGAGGTAAGTGCTCTACCACTGAGCCACAGCCCCTACCCTCTAGCCCTTTTTATTTATATTTTCAGACGGGTCTCACTAAGTTGCCACAGGCCTCACTAAACTGCTGAGGCTAGCTTTCAACTTGCAGTCCGCCCTCCTCAGCCTCCCAGTTCACAGGAACTGCAGGTGGGTGGGCACCACTGCACCCAACCAAAACAATGTTTGTCCTAGGAAAGAAACTGCTCGTCAGCAGTAGCCCCTGCCACATCTCAGCACTGCAGCCCACTTAGGCTCTCCCCATGCCTCCTGGACACTTCACACCATGGACTCTCATGCGTTCTTTGCAGTTGTGGGTACCAGGACTGGGCTCCTTTTTCTGGTTCCTCGTCCTTCTTTTGGCCGAAGGCTGCAGTGGACATGTGTGCAGCATGCTGAGATGTGTAGATGAGTGGCTGCCACCTGAGCCCTGCTTTAGACATGGAGAGTGTGGGCAGCAGGTGGGGCTCAGTGGGCCTGGATGGCCTGAGGTAGCAGCACCTGAGGTGCTGCTGGCAGGGCCTGTCCGCTCCAGCCTTGGTCATCCCCCATACAATGGCCACAGTCAGACTGCTCGGGGATGGCGCGAGAGGCTCCCGCGGGAGTTGGAAGGCATACTTGTTAATGTCTCATGTGGCCCAGGCTTGTTAGGTGTGTGAGTGACCTCCTGTGCTTCCTCTTTTTTTTTTTTAAAGAGATAGATAGATAGATAGATAGACAGACAGACAGACAGACAGACAGACAGACAGATAGATAGATAGATAGATAGACAGACAGATAGATAAGAGAGAGAATTTTTTTTTTTAATATTTATTTCTTAGTTCTCGGTGGACACAACATCTTTGTTGGTATGTGGTGTTGAGGATCGAACCCGGGCTGCACGCATGCCAGGCGAGTGCGCTACCGCTTGAGCCACATCCCCAGCCCCCTCCTGTGCTTTCTCAATTCACATTTCCTTTTCAGAGTAAAAAGTCAAATCACAGGAAAGACAGGTGTGTTGGTGTTTCTCTAGAGCAGAGCTTTTCTGAATCTAACAGCTAGATTTTACCCACAAATATACTCTTGTAAACTTTGCAGTTGTTTCTCAAATGGATATTATCACCCGGTTCTAATCTAGGCCTTTGGGTCGTTCATGAGCTTTGCCCAGCTTAGAAATCCCTCCACTAGATGGGGATAAGTTCTGGTGCAAGGTGGGTGTGGGCCCAGGGCTTCCATCCCCACACCACAAAATCACACCTGGTGTGCACAGTAGGCTGACTACAGACAACAGTAAAAATCCAGGAGAAAGTCTGTTGCTTGTTTTGTGGTGCTGGGGATTGAACTCAGGGCCTTGTGCATGTAAGGCAGACACTCTACCAACTGAGCTATAGCCCCAACCCCAAGAAAGGAGTTTGAATGTTTTTACCATAACAGAAATGGTAGATGAGATGGATATGTTTAACCTGCTCAAACATTACGCGGTGCATAAATGTATCAAATACCTATAGTATCTCATAAATTCATACAATTTTGTTTTTATGTATCACTTAAAGATAAATTTAGAGCTGCTCATGGTGACACACACACCTGTAATCCCAGTGACGTGAGGGTCTGAGGCAAGAGGATCACAAGTTCAAGGCCAGCTGGACAACTTAGTGAGGCCCTGTCTCAAAAATAGAAAATACCTGGGTGCGGTGGTGGCACACGCCTGTGATCCCAGCGGCTCAGGAGGCTGAGGCTCAAAAGACTATAGACACCGAACCGCTAGACGTGACCCAGTTGTTCTACCCTTCGGTGTTGACCTGAAGAACTCAAGTCATATGACATGCGCATCCCCGTGTATATAGCAGTACAGTCCATAACAGCCACACGTGGTGCCGGCCTAGGGTCCCTCAGTGGGTGAATGGATGGAGGAAATGTGGCGCACACGCACAACCAAGTTCGACTCAGCCATAAAGAAAAATGAGATGATGTCATTTTCAGGAAAGTGGATGGGACTTGGGAACAGTATGTTAAGTAAAATAAGCCAAACTCAGAAGGTCAAGGGTCATCTGTGGAATCTAGAGAGGAAAAAGGAAAAGATGGGGGCAGATCTCATGAAAATCAAAGGAAGATCAGTCGAGGAAAGGGACCCAGTGAGAGGAGGAGAGGGAACGGAAAAGTGCTGGGCTGGGTGTGGCCAGAGTGTGGTGTCACGGTGTGCGTGTGCACATGTGTGACAAAGCCCACTCTAACGTTAACTGTGATGCTCCAGCAAAAATGGAGGAGGAGGAAACGGAACCCAAGGCAAGAGGAAGGTCAAGATGCAGGTGGCTGTCAGGTCTCACCTGCTAGGAAATCGGCTTCCTCTTGGACTCCAGGGAGAGCCCCTGTGTCATTCCAGAGCCAGTGCTGGGCGTGTCGGGCCTGCAGTATGTGACATCCTGTGGTGGGTGGTGTCAGAGCTGGTGGGAAAACCAGGAGCAAAGACACGTTTGAGCACCTCTGCAGAAGAAGAGGTTTCGACTGAGCACGCAGGGCCTGGAAGCAGGGACAGCTCTGAGCCAGCCCACAGAAAAGCTGCACCTGGGGGTCACAATCAGAAAAGTTTTAGGGGCTGGAGTTGTGGCTCAGTGGTAGAGCGCTCGCCTGGCATACATGAGGCACTGGGTTCGATCCTCAGCACCACATAAAAATAAAGAGTTTTAGCTGAATGCAGTGGTGCTCACCTGTCATCCCAGCTATTTGGGAGCTGAGGCAGGAGGATCGAAAGTTCCAAGCCAGCCTTAGCAACTTAACTAAGCAACTCAGTGAGACCCTGTCTCTAAATAAAATATAAAAAGGAGGGCTGGGGATGTGGCTCAGTGGTTGAGCACCCCAGGTTCAATCCCTGGTACCAAAATAAGTGTGAGGGCGGGGGACAAGAGATGCAGGACCATGTTGCAACTTATGTAGCTGCTTTAGTTTTGATGTCTTCTTCGTAGTGTACAGCAAAAGTCTCAATAGTGCAAAATTCCAAGGTTAGTTGGCAGGTGAGGTTTGTTTTCAGAGTTCAGGGCGATGTGCTCTGTGCCTCCTGGGTAACTTGTAAGAGCGAGTGAAAGCTCCTGAGCCCTGCAGGGCTGTGCCCCACCTGGGCCTCCATCAGGTCCCTGCAGGCAGTGCTGGAGTCTGCTACAAGCACAAGATTGCCTACTAAGTTTAGGAGTTATAGATGGCAATGTGTTAGAGTAATTGCAACTGGGCACCCTGGCACACACTTAAAATCCCAAAGCCAACCTCAGCAACACATCAAGGCCCTAAATAACTCGGTGAGACCCTGTCTTTAAATAAAATACAAAAAGGGCTGGAGGTATGGCTCAGTAGTTGAGAGCTCCTGGTTTCAATCCCTAGCACCCCTCTCAAAAAAAAAAAAAAAAAGGAAAAGAATTGCACTAAAGATGCTCATTAGAAGAACTGAGAAAGTCAGTGGATCATCAGCCGGCAGCTGGAAGTTTGCTGGCAGCTAGAAGTTTGCTGGGGCCCCTTTGGCTGTGGCTCTCAACAACCTAGTTTGGAGAGAATCTTTTGGCTTTTTTGTAGAGGTAGATATACATAGGTAGTTCTCTCTTTAGGGTTACATTTATAACACTGTGATTTAAGATCTTTAATGCACAGATCCTTCATCCTGCTGCCAGATCATTGTTCATTCTTCCCTCTCACAGCAATGCTGCTGCTGCCAGATTTGTTTTCTTTGCTATAATCAGTATGGCTGTGTCTGTGCTGTTTAATAATGTACATGAAACTTTAGACTGCTGGTGTATATGCACATCCTCCTGGAGCAGATCACTGAGGTCATCTGCCACGTGGGAGGCCGCACGTGAGCCCCGTGGCCTTGGGTAGGCCACCTCCTCACTCAGAAAGATGGAGCTAGAGGGTCAGTGAGCAGTGCAGCTGCAGGTCCCAGCCAGCCACCACCAGCCCAGAGGTGCAGTGCCTGCTGGGGAGCCTCTTAAGTGTGTCCTCCCACCCTGAATTTCAGTAGGCGCTTGATGTGACTTTTAAAATATGCATAGTTGTGCCAGGCGGAGTGGCACAAGCCTATAATCCCATCAGCTCAGGAGGCCGAGACAGGAGCCAGCCTAAGCAACAGCGAGGTGCTAAGCAACTTAGTGAGACCCTGTCTCTAGATAAAATACAAAATAGGGCTCGGGATGTAGCTCAGAGGTCAGGTGCCCCCTGAATTCAATCCCCAGTACCCCCCTCAAAAATGTGTGTGTATACACACACACACACACACAGAGTTATTTAGATTTAGCCTGAGAGAGGATTTTGGTAATGCAAGCATTTTAAAGTTGTTAGAAATACCAGTTTTGGGAGCTGGGGATGTGGCTCAAGCGGTAGCGCGCTCGCTTGGCATGCCTGCGGCCCGGGTTCGATCCTCAGCACCACATACAAACAAAGATGTTGTGTCCGCCGAGAACTAAGAAAAAATAAAAATAAATAAATATTTAAAAAAAAAAAAAAAGAAATACCAGTTTTGTGTGATGAGGCAAGGTCATATGTTCCTTTAGCTGAGAACTTCACTGGTCCTTTGTCTTCCAGATCACACAGGCACATCATCATTTATTACCTGCCTTTATCAGTTTAAAATTTAATGCGTGTAAATGTGAAGGCTAGTTTGGTGAGACTTGGCCAACAGGTGGACTGTTGGAGTGTAAGTGAAGGACTTAAGGTAAGGAGCAGTCTTTGCTCACCCAGAGGCCACGGTTGGAAGCTCACTGTCAGACCCATTATTCCTACAATTGCAGGTTCATCAGAAGAAAGATGGAGCCAAAGAGTTGAAATTCAACAAATTCAACTCTGAGGTTTAAAGGTATATAATCTTTACAAAAATAAGAATAAGCAGACTATGCAAATGTAGGGTGATTGAAATGGCTTTTCTGTGATGCGGTAAGAAATCAGGTGTAAGAGCCCTCGCCTAGAGGGCGGCCCCATCTTGTCACTCTGGGAATGTGAAACATGTACAAGGTCTAAAGGCTGTGAGAAGAAAGTCATTGGGGGTGTTAATGACGGGCCGTCTGAGAGAAGGCTAGCAGGCCCTGCACAGCAGCACTGACCTATAATCCCAGGGACTCGGGAGCCGGAGGCAGGAAGATTACAAGGTGGAGACCAACCTCAGCAATTTAGCAAGGCCCCAAGGACTTAGCAAGATCCTGTCTCAAAATACAAAATAAAAAGGGCTTGGCTGGGATGTGACGCAGTGGTTAAGTGTACCTGGGTTCAATACCTAGTACCCAAAAAAACAAAACAGGCTAGGGAGCCCACTGGGGGCCATTCTTGGTGTCCACCAGAGTAGCGCCCTTGTCAATATGTCATTCCATCACTGAACCAGCCCCTTCAAGGAACTTTAAAAGTCAACTCTTAGGCTGGGGGTGTGGCTCAGTTGTAGAGCATTGTCCAGCATGAGTGAGACCCTGGGTTGAGCCAAGCATTGCAAAATAAAGTAAAAGCGAGCTCTTGTGTAGATGGCACTGCTGTGTTTGGGTGGTCTGTGGGGTTCTGCCAGGCGACTACACCCTCACAACACTCCAGATGCACAAAGCAGGCTGCACGGCTTCGTCCTGGGGAAAGGTTTAAGGGCACAGTGAGGGGCAGCTGTGTCCCTTGGCTGTGCGTCCTCACCACAGTGCTATGCTCACCAGCGCTGCTGCAGGCCCTGGAGCCAGGTCCTGAGCCTGGCTCCTCACAGGGGAAGCCCAGCAGTGCTACGGACGCGAGTAGCTGTTTCCCACAGCCTTAGTTCCTTAGGGTGTCTCCTCCCGCATGGACCTTTTACTTGGGTGACCCCTGGACTCATGTCCTTGCCCACTGTGACCACTGACTTAAAATGAAGCCCTGGGGTACGCTGCTGCGGGCTGCCTTAGTCCTGCCTTAGTGCTTGCAAAAGGCAGAATGGTGGCTCTCGAAAACCAGCAGGGAGCCTCGTTTTGCCCTGTCACATGCTTGGAGGGTCCTGATGGTGCTGTATTTTACTTCCAGGTAGTTGAACTCAAGCTTGGTGGGAAGGATATCCCCGTCACCAGTGCCAACCGCATCGCGTACATCCACCTGGTGGCAGACTACAGGCTGAACAAGCAGATCCGCCCACACTGCCTGGCTTTCCGACAGGGCCTGGCTAACGTCGTCAGCCTAGAGTGGCTCCGGATGTTCGACCAGCAGGAGATTCAGGTACCCTGCGTGCCGACGCTCAGGGACGTAGTCGTCTCGGGGAATAAAAAGCCTTCCTTAAAATGTGCTACTATTCGGACTTTTTTTCCCCCCAGGTATTAATTTCTGGTGCACAAGTTCCCATAAGTCTGGAGGACCTAAAATCCTTTACGAACTATTCAGGTACGTTTAATTTGCATTGCTCAAACACTGGAGTGCTAGTCAGGTACATGCCTGTAATCCCTGCTCCTCAGGAGACGGAGGCAGGAGGATCTCAAGATCAAGAACAACCTGTGCAACTTGCAGGATCCTGCCTGTCTCAAAAGGGTTGGGGATGTGGCTAACTATTAAAGCACCCCTGGGCTCAATCCCCAGCACCAAAAAGAAAGACAAGACTACAGAGTGCTGGACACAGTGCCTGGCGAAACCTCTTCCTGTCCCCTTGTCTCTGGGCTTCTTTGCCTCTTCATATCCTCCCTCTGTAAGTTTCCACTTGGGAGCATTTGCGCTTTTTTTGCTTTTTTTTTTTTTTTTTTTTTTTTTAGAGGGAAGTTGATGGGGATGGACGTGGGAACCCAGGGTCCTCGCCAGGGAGGTAAGCTCCTCCTGAGCCCCACCTCGGGCGTGCTTCTGGTCTTTTGCTGTTAAAAGCAGTGCTGGGTCTGGCGCAGGGGAACACACCTGGGACCTCCCAGCTGAGCAACACCTGTCTCCAGGTGAGAGCTAGAGGCCAGGGCTGTGGCTGAGAGGTGCAGCACCAAGAAACAAATAGGCTCACCCCCATACACACAGCACACTGATAAAGAGACTTTTTTTCCCCTATGGTGCTGGGGATTGAACCCAGGTCCTTGTGCGTGCCGGGTAAGCACTCTACCACTGAGCCAGGACTCAAGTACTCACCCTCCAGGTTTTGTTAGAGCATTGTAGTCATACACAGTAACTGAGTTAGTCCCGACAAAATCGTACATGCATGGAATTTGATTTCACTTCACAATCCTCCCACAACACTATTTACTTTCTGATTAAATTAAATGTATACCTTTCTCCTTTTTAAGAAAATGAAAAGGCACAAATGAGTCAAAAATGTTCAGAATACATATATCTGACAAGGAATTTGGACCCAGAGTATATTTTTAATATTCTGCAAGTTCATTGAGCAGGCAAAATCCCACTTATACAAATGGGCACAAAGCCTTAAACCTCTACTTCCCCAAGAAGGCACATGGCCCTAGGCCCGTGGAGAGTCCTCCGACATCCTGAGTGTTACAAGTTCCTGGGTTTTGCTTTGCTTTCTTTTGTTTAAGCCCTGTGTCTACTCAGTAGTAGTTGAAAGAAAAAGAAAAGGGTCCCCCTTAATGCAAGATTTTACACAACCACTGTGGTGTCGGTGTGGTCTTCATTGTACTTCATTTCTCTAGTACTATGTGAGCTTGTGTTTATAGTAGACATTCTGGGATTTTGTGTGTTTGTGTAACATCAGTAGTAAAAACGTGTTTCTGCACTGTCCCTGTTGGTGCAGTTGATCTGGTGTATTTGACCTCAGAGCACAGTGAGCGCAGTGTGTGTTCCTGCCTGTCGTCATTTGTCTCAGTAGAAGGTGGGCGCGAGGTGGAGGATTGCCCTCCACAGGATGTGAGCATCCTGGGAAGTGAATTGCAAGTGGATCTGGCTCACGCCAGCCCCTGACCAGGCCGAGCACACCCTCTGCCCTTGCAGCCCTTCCTCACCTGGACACCAGGCTCAATGGGAGTGTGAAAGGGGTAGGTGCTGTGAGCCACCCATTCCTATTGTCATGGGCCCTGACACGCTGAGTACTTTATGTGGCTCATAGAAAACACTTGGAGTGGAAGACGCAGCAGATTCTGAAACAGTTTGTGTCATCCCACATTTTCAATGTGCTCTTCTTTTTTTAAAAAAAAACATCTTGAAATGAGTGTACATTCCTTTTCAAATAATTTTTAAGCCATAACACATACCCTGGGCGGGACTTTCAGCCCAGGCCAAGGAGATCAAAAGATCCCCTGCTCAGTGGTCTTCATTAGTCTAATATCAGAGCAGACCAAAAAATACACACAAATAAAAGTATAGATTAATATCCCTTATGAACATGTAAGTAGGAATCTTGAGCAGAACATCAGAAAACTGAGTCCAGGAGCCAGCCTCGTTGGCACACACCTGCAGTCCCAGCAACTCTGGGGGCTGGGACAGGAGGGTCATGAGTCCAAGGCCAGCCTGGTCAGCTTAGCAAGATCCTGTCTAAAAATGAAAGTGAAGAAGAGCTGGGGGTGTGGCTCAGGTGGAGCACTGGGTTCAGCCCCCAGCGCTGCAGCAAGGTTGGGGAACGGGAACTGAAGCTGTGGCGAGTTGAAGGGACTAAGCCAGGGTGTTTACCCAGACACCCGCAGGTCCATTCGTGCAGTCCGACACAGGGCAGTGGAAGGACAGAGCCCACAGGAGCCTCTCGGTAGAGGGAAAGCCAGCACCCACCGGAGGCTTCTGAACTCAAGACAAAATGCTCAGGCGGCCGGGCTGGGAGGGAGCCCCTGAGCCTGCCCCAGACCCTGCATGGCCCCTGGCAGCACCCTGAGTGCCAGGCACACCAGACAGGGTGGCCTGTCACCATTCCTGCAGCGTGGCTCTGGGTCTCTAGCTGGTGCCACGAGGCAGGCAGGCAGTAGGAAACCGAAGAGAACGTGGGAAGAAAGACGTCCGTTTGGAAACCAGAGAAAGATGTAAAACTTGTCATGGATAAAGTGACAAAAAAAGCCCTAAAAACTCAGCAGGATTGTTCAGGTTGACACATAGACACTGGTTGTAATTCTGTATACAGTCCAAGAATGGAATCAGATAACTCCACTCATCATAGCATTAGAAAGGATGAAACCCAAATAAACTTAGCAAAGTAAATATAGACTTGTACACTGAGGACTGCAAACATTTTAAGAGAAATTAAAGGAGATTAAGTACATGGATTGGAAGACTCATTCCATCGTTAAAATGGTAATTCCCTTCAAATTGATCTATAAATCTAGTCTGGTCTCTGTCAAAATCCTAGCAGAGTTTTTTGTAGAAATAATAAAGGTGATTTTAAAATTTATTTTGAACATAAAGGATCAAGATTTGGCCTAGGGCCAGATGCAGTGGGTGGAGAGGCTGAGGCGGGAAGATCACAAGTTCAAAGCCAGCCTCAGCAACAAAAAGGCGCTAAGCAACTCAGACCCTATCTCTGAGTAAAATACAAAATGGGTTGGGGATGTGGCTCAGTGGTCAACTGTCCCTAAGTTCAATCCCTATATCCGCCCCCCCCCCAAAAAAAAAAAAATAGGCCTGGGGTTGTAGCTCAGGAGTAGAGTGCTTGCTAGCATGTGTGAGATGCTGGATTTGATCCTCAGTGCCACATAAAAATAAGTAAATAAAATAAAGATATTGTGTCCATCTACAACTTGTGTGTGTGTGTGTGTATTTAAAAAAGGATCAAGCCAGGCACAGTGGCATATGCCTGTAACCCCAGCAGCTCAGGTGGCTGAGACGGTAGGATCCTGACTTAAAAACCAGCCTTAGCAGTGGCGAGGCACTTAGCAACTCAGTGAGACGCTGTCTCTAAATAAAATACCAAATAGGGCTGTGGATGTGACTCAGTGGTAAACTGCCCCTGAGTTCATCCCTGGGACCAAAAAAGAATTTAAAAAAGATCAAGGGGCTGGAGTTGGGCTCAGTGGTAGAGCGCTCACATAGCATGTGTGAGGCACTGGGTTTGATCCCCGGCACCTCATAAAAATAAACAAAGATGTTGTGTTCATCTACAACTAAAAAAATATATTTAAAAAATATATTTTTAAAAGTTAAAAAGGATCAAGGTTAGCCAAAGTAATTTGGTAGAAGAAGATTGAAAGACCTAGTCCTGATTCAGAACCTAGTACCAAGCCACTGCGGTCCGGCAGCATGGTCTCGACCCACGCACAGGCGCGCCTTCAACAGAACCCAGTTTGGAATCGGAAACAAGTCCTTGCAGCTGTGGTCAGCTGGCTTTTCAGAAGGACCCAGGACGATTGGGCAGGTACTGGGACGGTACCCGTCCGAGAATGACTGCACTTAGAACCTTATGCCACATACACCCAAAGGTGAACTCAGGATAGGTAAGCGCTAGGACTCCAGAATCTATGAAGAGCACACGGCAGGGCTTCATGGCTTTAGAGCAGTCGGATTGTAGTTGTTATACCAACATGGGATCCAGAAAAGGATATCGATACCTCCTCCTTCCTCTGAGTTAAAATATTTTGTGTTTCAAAAGAAACCATCAAGATATACAGACGGAGTCATGTATTCCTGTAATCCCAGTGATTGGGGAGGCTGGGGAGGAAGATCCCAAGTTCAAGACCAGCCTCAGACAGACCCTGTCTCATAAATCAACAAAAGGGGTTGTAAAGGGCTCTGGGTTCAATCCCCAGTGTAGGGTTGGGTGGGGTAGTTTAAATGGTGAATTTTATGTATTTTACCACCATAACAACAAATTCTACCCAGCTCCCTGTGTTCTGCTGAATGCTATTTGTATATGAAACACCTAGAAGTATGTTTACCATACAGTCGGTTCATGGTTTTCTTTGGATTAGAATCTTTTTGAGGACATAGAAATATTCAAAGCCGGATTTTGTTGCACAGTTGTAAAATTCTAAATATGTTAAATATCGTGTGTGTGTGTGTGTATTCTGTAGTTAACCTGTTTGCTCTAAATTTGAGCTCAGATTTTATGAGAAGGCAAATAGCACCAAGATCACATTGTCCTGACTCTCGGGACATAAGCTTAAGAAAGTGAAATCCATCCGACCTTTCTTTGCCAAGAATTTGTCTTGGGTGGTTTGAATGACCCACTCTCACTGAAACCTTCCACCTTGAATGATCTTGGCTGTTCCAGTAAATAGGGTTAAAGAATTACCATATTCATTTGGTGCCAATTGATGCACTTAAGATGTCTTATTGATATTATTTCTGTAGTGTATTAAGAATAAGGGAACAACTAGAGCAATTATCTTAGTTTTAGGAAGCACTTAAGGAGATTAAAAGTTGTAAGTAGCAGACCCGACATTTACAATAGTCTCCTACTCACATGTGAGGTTGGTTGTTAGGCATGGCCGGTACCCAGGGTCCACCGTGTTTGGGTGCACTGACCACTTGTGAAGCCCTGCACGTTCTGGTTTGCTCAGCAGGTTTTGGTTTCTGACCAGCAGAGTTCCTAGAAAGCAGAGCCTCGTGCCACCAGTGTTTGTCTTGTGACCAACCACCTGCCTGTTCCTGTTCTGTTCTTGTCTGCCTCAGCAGACCTGACACTTGGTCCCTCATGCTTTGCCCACCGTCTCTGGGGTGAGGGCCAGATGGTTTTTAGGATTAGCTTTCAAGACAGGCCTGGTGGAACCTGCAGTTCCCTCTGATTGCTGACCTCAGACCTGCAGAGCATCCCATGGACCCTGCTGGCCAGACGCAGCAGCACACCCTCTATTCCTAGCCCCTCCCGGGGATGAGGCAGGAGGATCCCAAGTCCCAGGCCAGCCTGGGCGCTTCAGTGAGACACTGTCTCCACAGAAACAGTAAAAAAGGCTGGGATGTGGCTCTGTGGCAGAGCATGTGCCCAACAAGCACGAGGCCCTGGGTTCAGCCCAGGGCCACAGAGCGCAAGAAGGCGCACCCTGCTTTTGTATGTGTTATGTATTTGTTTTCATGTGGTGTAAAGGGTTGAGCAGACTCAGTCCCTCCGACTCAGTCATGTGAGCAGAGCCTCACACAAGGTAGGCAAGTGCTCTGCCACTGAGCCCCGCCCCAGCCCTGTGTGTTTTACTTTCAATAAGATGTCTGTCCGTTTTCTCTTAGGAGGCTATTCTGCCGATCACCCTGTCATTAAAATCTTCTGGAGAGTCGTAGAAGGTTTCACTGATGAAGAGAAGCGCAAGCTCCTCAAGTTTGTGACGAGCTGTTCCCGCCCCCCTCTCCTGGGGTTCAAGGTACACCACCTGCATGCTCTTCGCCAAGTTCCCGGCCTGGAGTGTGCCCTGCACCAGCCTGCTGCCATGGCAGCCCACGTTGTGCTGGAGTGGCCCAGGGGTGACCCTGCATCCAGCTGGAGTAGCTGGACAAGCAGGAGTCCCGTGGGTCTTTGGGGTCTGGGGCAGTTCTTAGCATGACTGGAAGAAAACGTCCTGACCCTCGCAGCCGTGTGCCTCGTGTTGCCTAGCTCTACCTCTGGGTATTAATGTTGACCGCATATAACTTGGATTATTATTTTTAGCAATTGAAATTGCTTGCAGAGCTGGATATGGTGGCAGAGTGCCTCACTGAATTGATGAGACTGAGGCAGGAGGATCACAAGTTCAAGGCCAGCCTCAGCAATGCAGTAAGGCCCTAATCGACTTAGTGAGACTCTGTCTGTAAATAAAGTATTAAAAAGCGGGGATGTGTCTCAGTGGTTAAACACCCCTGGGTTCAATCCCTGGTACCAAAAAATAAATAAATACAGGAGGCTGAGGCAGAAGGGTGTAAGATTCAGGCCAGCCTGGGTAACTTAGCAAGACCCTGTCTCAGAAAAAATTAGGAAATTAGGAAGGGTTGGGGATGATGCTCAATGGTAAAGTGCCCTGGGTTCAGTCTCTGTACCACAAAAAGTGTGTGGTCCTGAGTGAGCAATCGGCACTGTACCGGGGGATGCTCCTGGCTGGCTCTTCCTCCCATGGGTGGAGAGTGGCCCTCATGGCAGGGAGCACTGCCTGCCGGCCCCCAGGGCATCAGCAGGTGAAAGAGTGCAGGCGCCATGTGCAGCACCGAGAATAGTCTTGCCACTTACGTGTGTTTTTCTGCTCTTCTGTTTTTGGTACTGAGGATTGAGCATTGTTGTATTTTGTGACAGGGTCTCACCACGTTGCCCAGACTGGCCTTGATCTTATGTTAGGACAGGGACCAAAGGAGAACTAGAAATAACATTAATAATTCAACACTCAGCATTATTCTGAGGACACGAGGCAGTATTCTCTCAAGTACTTGAAGAAACTAAAATGAAAGCATTACCTTTTTGAGACAGAAAGGATTTCAAAACAGTGCCAACCTCGAGGTCGTGACTCTCCAGGAAGAGCCTAGGTGGGGTCCTGTTCCCCTGCAAAGAGAGTGGGGCCAGGGATGCTCTCCTGTCCCTGGTGAGCAGTCAGTGCCAACCAGTGGGCATGGGGGAACCCGCGTGGGAGAGTGCAAGAGAATGCTAGCCTACCTTGGCACACAGAGACCTCCAGACCGTCTCCTGCACAGGGGTCATAGACGTTGGGGAGGGCATGTTCCTTAGCTCCTTTTTGGTGCTGGGTACTGAACCCAGGATGCTTCACCACTGAGCCACATCCCCGGCCCTTTTTTTTCTTTTGTATTTAATTTTCACTAAGTTGCTTATGCTGGCTTTGAACTCCCAGTCATCCTCCCAATCCTCCTCCCTC